CCTTCCAGCGGCCACCTCAGCTATGGCGCATCGGCCCTGCACACGACGGCGCGCATGGGATAGCGGGAACCAGCTCCGATACCAGTGCAATCAGACTCGATGCATCCACACTTTTCATGCACGTGAACAGCAGCACAATGAACTGGCGACATGCGCACACACAGTACACAAAGATATGGCTTCCAGGTAAGTTCACTTCCACTGGCTATGGCGACTGAGCGCCCAACATCCACTGTTCACACACTGGATCACCTTGGATATCCCACACTCGACACTCTGCACACTCACATCACGCACACACACACACTACTATAGCTATGGCAGCGCTAGCTGCCACTACCCTATCGCTACACTACACTTCTCTGCCCACTTCGTCTTCGGGCACACTGTGACCTCCTCGAACAAGCAGCTGAGGCAGCGCTTCCGCATGGCATCCACAGGAATGAATGAATGGCTGTGCGTGGCCTCTTGATTTATACTTCTGTGAAGCGTTGGTCTGCCCTGTTTCCCTGGCCCACGGTATACACAGTCCCAGACGGTACTTGCTGGACAGGACCGGACTGGCTGGACTGGGACTGTTGACTCAGCGTGGTGGACCTACACCACTTGACCACTTGCCTCTGCCAAAACATGGCCGACTCCGAAAGGCCACTTCTAGAACACTCTACTTTGGCCTTTCGGTACTGTAGCAGCTACAACTCTGCCCTTTCAGGTAAGTAGCAGCTACGACTTTGACCCTTCGGTCAGTCTACAGCGAAGACTGCCTAGACTCCTACCCGACAGACCTACAGTTTCAATCCTCTATACCTTGTAACCTACGAGGTCCTACCAACCACTGGCGGTCCTACAGGTCGCAGATTCAAATCTACGGGCTGACACAGTTACTGTACACAGGTAAGGTGAACTAAGGTGGGGAACTAGGGATCGAGCCCTGGAATCTGCATCAGCTATTGCGAAGTGGTGAATACCGTTTCAGATTGGGTATTCGGCAAGGGGACTATTTTTGGACTGCGCTATCACAATCTTGGTCTACTCCCTCGCCTCCATCTTCGTCTTGCCTCTCCCCCTGTTACATCTTCGACTCACACGGGCCCTACCTGACCCGACTTAGGGCCGGAGGGACACACCAGGGCCTAAAGGCCCGACCTTTGAGGGTCACAGGCCCTAAAGGCCTGATTTTGGACAGCCACCCATCGGGTAGGCCCAAACGACACTTCGTTTGGGCCTGGCGGCGCTCTTAAAGCTGCCGCCCGCCGATTGAGGCTGAACCATCCATCTGGACGGTTCAGGGTCTGGCCTGGCCTCGCAGCATTGAGGCCAGACCAATGCCTACCGGTATAAGTACCGGTACCTGCCTCAGTTGAGGCATCGACCTACCGGCA